TTGACATAGCTGAAAAAACTGTTGGAAGATTTGTCACACTTGAAACTCACGATAGCATACAAGAAAGTTTATATATATATGTTGGACATCATTTGAGTTTAAAAGTTTAAGTTATTTGATTTTTAAGTCTTTCATATAATATATATATATATATATATAATATCTCAATCTCATTTTTTGGAGAGGTAAGATTTTTTACTCATACGTGAATTATTCTAACAATCTCTCCGATTCACTTATAAATTTTCATTAAGTCCCAACTCAGCTTTAGTAAATCTTATCAATATTTCTTTAAGCCAGACATCCTCACATCTCTAATGCGTTTTAAGTCTGATCACAACACTCAACTTTGCTTCTTATCAAGCTCTACCTCTATTCTAGTAAGTCTTATCAATATTTTTTTTGAGTTAAGTAATTTCACACTTTTAATGCGCTTTAAGCCTGATCACAGCATTCAACCTTATTTATTAGATTGGTCTTAGTAACCTCTTAAACTTGCATTGCAGGTTGACTCGATATATCGTCTTATTAGATGTTTCACTTTTGCATATTTATCATATATATTTACTGTATCCAAATCAAATATTTCGATTCTGATATTAATTGTTAAGAAATTTGACACATTTAAAACTTACAAGAACATATAAAAAAATCTATACATACTTATTAAATACTACTTAAACATAAAAACTTAAATAGATTTTTTAATCCTTCATATATTATATATAAAATATTTCATTCTATAACGTAAAATTTTTTATTCATATACGAACTATCCCAACAAAATCCACCACAAATACACTCAGGGTGGGCAATCAAGTACTCACATCGGGCGGGATAGTCCTCGTGTTCAAACAATCCAAAGCCAAATTTGGGATTTCTATCTGTCAAATTATTAGCAACCGAGTCATCAACTTTGACACAACTATCATTGGTTTCTATAATTCTTCTGCGAATAACTTTAACCTGATGATCAAACCAAATCCTGGGTTTCACTAAAAAAGAGTTTTTTTAGAACATTTTCATGATTGTTAAGCAACTAATACCAAGGCAAAAATAGAACGAAACGCTCCATGAAATTTGGAGCTTTTTTCAGCCCCAAAAAGAAGGCGTTTGGGTTCTATCATATTTTGGTTTTCAAGTTTAACAGGGAAATCAGATAAAAGAAAAAGGAAACTTGAAAGGGTTTTTGTTCTAGGGTTTTAATTTTCAAAGCATGGGATACTATGAAGAGATGGGAGTTGGGAAGGCGTTGAAACCAAGGGTTGGAGCGAGGGCAAATTGAATTACTTGGAGTGGTAAACAAGAGAGGAAGCTTCAAGGAGGTTTCATTGAGCAACTGCTTGTCTGATGATGATATTTTGGGGGAGGAAAAGGACACTAACGATTGGAAGCAGCAAAAATCTGCAAATTTGATGGGGAAAGAAACTGAATTTGAGCAAAACGATGCGCCATGGTGCGTCATGGTGTGTGTGGGCGCGAAAGAAGGGTTTTTTTTTTTTTTTTTCACTCGTTGCGTAAGCGTAATGGGGTCCTGATGATACACGACAAAATTGCAGTCCATTACTGCTTTGGCTCTGCCCCTTTAATTGGGTAGAGAAATAAAAGATTTGAAGATCAGGCCACTGCCCATTAATACACTTTTTTTTTTCTTTTCTCAATTAAAAGGTTAAAACTGCACTTTAATAATAGTTAATGCAAAATTTTACGCTCAAAGAACATGGTTTCAATCGTCCTTCCTCAAATAATATAAAAACAAAAATGCTAAAATCAAATAATGTTTTCTACATTATCCAAAACAAATAAAAATTTCACTTATTTAAGGCTAAGTATGCATGTGATTCTTCTCATTTTTCTTAAAGAACTAGTAGTACTTATTTTTCTGTTCTTTATATTCATCCCCTCAAATAAACATGGAGATTCAAGTTTCAACATGGACTAACCATCTATGAGACTATTATTATTTGTTTCCCTATCAGCTTTTTTGTTATTGAATATATTTGATTGTTTTTAAAGCAATTACACAAAATTTTATTTGATATAAATTTTAAAAAATGGCACTAAAGATGTGTAAAGTCATTATGTACTAATGTAAGTATATAACATTCATGGATCGCTATGATACATGATGATACGAAAATCTCAGGATGATGAGTTGATGACACTGACACTCCTTTCCAATCATTATTCAACACTACACTTAGTTGCCGTAGTCTCGATCGTTTAATACATAACTGAAAGCACCAGGAATTTTCCCACTAAACCACTTATCCCCATTTTTTTCTTCTCATCTGTACTTCATTCCAGGTTTGCCAGTGTCTTCATTTCCGTTATTATATTTCGATAGGTTTCTTTTGCATTTTAATTATGGTTTTAATTTTTTAGAATGGAATACGTTTTTTTTTTCTGGGTTAATGATTTGCTTTGAGATGATGAACACTTATTTATGACTACTTTGCAGAAATGGGATTTGATAGGAAAGAATACGAGTTTCTTGGGAAGATCGGTTTGGGTCCTACTAAAGTTGGCTGTTTCATAGATGCCACGTGGAAGGCTAGTGGTTGAGAGGTTTCTTCTGTGAATCCTTCAAACAAGCAGGTTCAATTTGTTCTTTTGAATATTTTGCTGATTTATCTTATCATGGAAGTTTGTTAAGTCGACATAGCATGTACCATTATACTCTGGTTGATCATAAAACAATTTCTTGAAAGTTTTAAAGCATTTAATTTTGTTGACTAGAAAAAAAGAACTGGGATTTATGGTCATGTGTAATGTTCAATATTAACCAGAACCTTGAAGACGTTAAGAAATGTTTAGTCACTTAATCACTCTTTAACAAGGGTACACAATTAAGAAATTTATGTACCTCTATTTACAGTTTTAACTTTGTAGAATCATAAATGGTGAAATCAAAATCTTAGATTTTTCCCCTTCATATTTCTTCATGCAGTATCTTCATGAAGGCGTACAAAAAAATGTGCTGAATCAACTAATCGAGGTATACAACTATGGGCATGTTTGCTCTTCTTTCTCTGACAAGTGAAAATTTTCATGCTGCATGCTTATGCATTTAGGTATTTTGTGCAGTCCATGTGGAAGTGATTGTGCATTGTGCATTGTGAATGTAAATATAGCAACAAATGGAGCTGAGGTCGGTGGCGCTTTTGGTGGAGAAAAATCAACTGGTGGTGGTCGTGAAGCTGGAAGTGATGACTCATTGAAGCAATACATGCGGCGTTCCACATAGTAATTTTCATTCTTCATTCATAGTTGTATTCATTTGCTGTTCTTCATAATGACTGATTATAGTCCTTGGCAGTACGATCAATAATGGAAATGAACTACCATTGGCTCAAGGGATAAATTTTGGCTAATGAATTGGCTTGTTGTGAGAAGTGAGATATGATGTTCTGTCATTTTCTGTATCTCTGATCCACATAGCGGGTCAATATTACTAAGCAAAATCTGCTTTCAAGATTATGCTTCCTTTGGCAGTTTTACTGCACCCACAAAAAAAACATAAATGAACAGCTCTGATATTGAAACCATGGGTGGCTTTATTCTCAGTTCCAAACGATTAAAGCAATATATATTGATAGGAATAGACATGTTAATTATGGTTACTGAAGCTGCTGCTTCTTTCTGTTTTCTTCTCGTTTCTTTCGATTTGGAATACTCGGTTGGCGCCATAGGAATGATCCGTGATAACTCCAGGGAAGACTAGTACCCTAGGCCTAGTCAACTTTTTAATCATCTGAATTTTGGCTTCATCGGCCAAAGCCATCGGCGAAATACCAAGAAGTACCCGACTTGATCCTGTTGAAGAGGAAACTTTAGGGGTTAAGTTCTTTTACCAAGCTCTGGATGAAAATTGGTCTTCTAGAGAGCTATAGAAAGAAGGTTTTCTTTTCTGGACAAAGCTTTCCGTACATAGCTTTTTTTGCTTGAGAGGATGCATGAGGTGTGCTACGTTATCAGTGAGCTAAATGTTGGAACTACACACATGGTCTGGCTTAGGCATCAGCTACTTGAGAAACGAAATAAACACTTGCAACCTTCAACTTAAGTTAATTGGTGTGTCGGGTTAATTTCATTGATTCAATGGACCTTGTCAAATTCGTATATTTTACATTCCCATACTCTTTGGACGAGAGGTAGTTTGTAGGATGGTGCGTCCAAAGCAAATGCTTCGACCTTAGGATATTGCCTATGAGTCGCTTTGATGCTGACAAGGATCCAGCTCGTTAGTCCAACTTTTGACCTTTGAATCTAAGAAGAAAACTATATAAAAGTTATTTTATCATATTTCTGCATGTATGACTTGAATCAAGTTGCTCATCTCATCTCCATTGCTTTAAATGTGGGTTCACTTGATAAATCCCTCCACCTGAAATGCCGCAACATCGGGGGAAATAATTATTAGGATGACGACTCTAGTAAAGCTCTATGTCTCAATCTCAGTTCCCACAGGCTTTACTTTCGATAATTATTTCTTTGAAGGGTGCACCGCCGAATTTATTATACCCTTGTTCTTGGGACCAAAGATTTTTGAAACCGTCAGGCTCAACTCTGGATATATATATATATATATATATATATATATAGATATATATATATTGTTTTTGCTGGGAGGGTTCACATCGTTGCCAAAGAAGAAGAGAAGAGAAGGGAAGGCCAAGATATTTTTACTTGATTGTACATCTTGCTAATTGAGACTGCAGCCAGAGTACCAGCTGGGCTAACTGCCCTAATGAAACGGGCATCAAGGTGTCTGTCCCACGTTTTATTTTTTGTCAGATTTAATCATGCTTGGCTGCACATGTCTGGAAACTTCTGTGTTCCATCTAGAAAGTGTTATTGCTCATTGCTAGTATGTTTAATCAGTGATCCAGGACTCCACAATATTATGTTATAATACTATAGGATGAGACAGACTCCAGACCCTAAAAATTAAGAAAAGAAAAAAGAAAAAAAAAGGAAAGAGAGTAAATTATCAAGACGAGTCTAAGCATGGTTCAGCTCCTCTTCTTTGTAGGAAATTTCCTTGCACTTTCATTTTCTGTCATCATCTTCTTTTTGTTATTACCTTTTATGCCACAATTTCTTTATCTGCATACCCCCTTCCATATAAGCAATTTTTCACAGGTGGCCAAGCTGAAATTTGACTCAAAACCAGCACAAACACTACCATTTTCAGTAAAAGCTCGCATGCTGTTAGATTCTTTTCTACCTAATCTTTTCTCCTAATTATGCAGAATTAAGACAAACTGAACCACCGTTCATTACTCAAGGAAAGAGTCAATGTTGTGGTTATCAGCTTCAGCTACAGTCATCTTAAACACGGAGGCATTAAGTTCCTTGGAGACATTAAAATATGCCTGGATTATGCTCAACAATAATGCGTTAAAATGATTAAAAGAACACACGCTAAATACAAGAAACTTTGAAACCCCAAGCAGTTCATTAGATATATGCTATTGGGAGGTCCCTTAAATTCAGATACTAAAACATTAGAGGATTAAAGACCATATATATGTAGTCCATATTACAATCTGATATTGAAACAGAGTTCCTCTGTTTCTTCTTTTTTTTTTTTAGTATATTTACCTTTAAACTTGAGAGGAATAATTCAGCTAGAAAGAGCTGAGAAACAACTCTCAGAACGAAGAAGAGAAGGACCCTTGACTCCTTCAAATCCTGGCAAGACACTACTTGAATTATACCTAAGAGCTCGCGGTGAATCCAGGCTTCGACGGAGAATCCTCCCCATGGCAGAGATGGGGTGCTCTGTTTCATCTAAAGGACTCGACGCCCTGAACTTCTTACAGAAGCTGATGTGTCGGTCCAGTGCTTCCTCTGTAGAGATAAGCGTACTCGATCTCAGAGCCTCATCCTTGACTGCTTCGATGCAGAGTCCACAAATCCAACGGCCCTGGTAACGTTCTCGGACACGCAGGATATAAGCTGGGGTGCATTCCTCTGTGAAGCCGCAAGACTCGCATTTAACGCAGTGAATTTCAACCGGAACAGTCACTTTGCTCGGTGGGGTTTGTGTGTCTGAGCCTAAAATTGCCATTGCAAGGAAACAAACATTGAATGTTCAATCTTTTGCTCTGTTTTCTCTGTTTCTAAACTCTGTTTTGTATTTTCTGTTTGTGTTCTCTAACTTTATAATAATGTGAAGGGAGAGCAGCAGGGGAGTGAGAGATTTCTGTCATGCGGGTGTGATAGAAAGAGTCAAATAAAAATTGAATAAAAAAAGAATAAAGTGGTCATGGATTTTACGTTAAACCAGGGTTAAGATGTGGGGTTTCTGAAATTTGTCTTCGACGTGGATGATGGAAGGGTTTAGAATTATGGGGTTTTGTTAAATTAAGGGTGATTAAATCCAAGTCCTTTCCATTTTGGCATGGTCGCTAAAACTCGATGCTTCGATTTTTATGTGATTGTAAGCTTTCTGGTTTGAAAAATGAAAACACGCGGCTGCTAAAATTGTTGTCACTAATCGAGAGATGACAGCCAGATGCGACACTAAAAAAAGATAAAGAAGAATATACTTAAAAAAAAAAAAGCTTATCAGAAATTTATTGGATAAAATTTATGAAATGTTTTTATTAAAATTAATTAAATTAAATTTTTTATTATATGAATGAAGTGTGTAAATTTTATAAAAAAATTTAATATATTTTTATTATTTTTTAAATAAATATTTTAAATAAAAACTTTGATGAAATTTTTATTATTAAATAATTACTGATAATTTAATTATGAATTATATTTTAATAATTTTTTTGTATTATTAATCTTTTTTTTGAACTTATAAATGTATAAATTTAAATTTTTATTAAATTATTTTTAATAAAAAATTTCATAAAATTCACTTTAAAAACTTTATATAAATTCTTACATGCTTTTAAAATTCAGATTATATTTAATTCATGATTAATATATATATATATTATCAGTAAATTATACGATATCACTTCATAATAAATAAATATCAATTTTTAAAATAAATATATAAAAATTTAAATTTTTAAAAAAATTTATTCATTAATAAAATAATATCATCTAATTCACTTTATTAATAAAATAAAATCATATAATTTATTAAAAATACATAAAATTTATACATTTACAATATATCAAATATATTACCTTTAAAACCAAACTCAATAAAGATTAGGACTTTCACAGTCTAAACATTCATAACCACAATAATGAAAGTTGCATTAAATGTCAAACTGACAATATATATATAGTTCAGTGTTGAGATGCTCTTCAGAATGTAATGCTCCAAAATTTTTGAAACAGAGTTGAACATTGGTTTATTCAGAACTAGTTTGCAACCCGTGCTGATGTACGGCTTTTTAATTTTATTTAAATTTAAATAAAAAATTAAATTAATATTATTAAATTATTTACATATTCAAAATATATATAACATATAAATAATATAATTAAAAATATCAAATCATAATAAATATAATTTTTTTTTAAATTATGCTAAAAGCTATAAGAAATTCTTTATTTCATTATTGCAAAGTTATATAGGATTTATATTTTCTTTTTCAAAAATATTAGTGAAATCATTTATGGTTTTGAGGTTTTTTTTTTTTAAGTTAAGATGTAAATGAACTTAAAATTAATACTAATGATGAGATTATACTTCAATTATTTCTTTTCAATTTTATTTTTTTTATGAAAATTAATCTCTTGATTTGAAATTATGTTACATGTTTCATAATGAAAATATGAGCACATAAGTTTCTATTTAGGATACATAATTCTATTATCTCAATTAATTAGAGTATGATTTTTATTTTATACAAATGAGAAATATTGAATAAATAATTAGTTAACAAACGAAATATATTATCTGATTGAGTGAAGAGTCAGTAAAAAAATAAAAAGTCTGCAGACAACACTAGTAAAAATATAAAAATATATGTGTTTTGTAATTCTTATAATTTTTTTAAAAATATTATAGCTAAAAAAATATATTATAACTTATTTGAAAAAAAAAATCCGACCTGATAGAGTGAATAGTTTATTTAGTGAAATAATACCTACATCATAAAAAAAAACATGCTAGTTCCTATAATAAGAATAGACTAATAAAAAGATATACTAGATTAATAGTAAGAAAAAATATATTTAACTCAGTAAGATATTGAAAAAGTTATATAACTAAGAACAAACAACAATGAGGGCTCTCTTGAAGTTATTCTGGTATTTATATATATATATATATTTTTTTTTTGTGAAATATATTTAAAAGTTAAAGATAAAATAAGAATTATTTATAAAAAATATTAAAGATAAAAATAATATTTTTAAAAGTTGTGATAAATTTAAATATTCATATAATAATGTAAGCATCCACATCTTGTTATATGATAATAATGTATGTTGTAATATATATATATATATATATGATGCGTAGAGAATAAAACATGCTTCTATGGCAACAGCAATAGGAGAAATTATAACTCCTTGAAAAATTTGCTCATAAATGACATGGTTTGCTGATTTACTAGTTGAAAAGGGAGAAATTCCACGAAGATTTAATATGAACTTGTCTCATCAAATTCTGCATTTTAATCTTAATTTATATATATTGAATATTTGCTAGAGTTACTTATTCGAATTCAAGGTTGGTCCATGATAATGACGGGCCTTATCATCTTCCACACAGATGCATCTACTGCAATTTTGTTTTTTAATGATTTTAATGCTTGAGCTTGATTACATTGGAGGCTAGTTAAAGTCCCATACTCCCTTCCAACCTTCTTTCCTGTTGAAATTCGAATTATTGCATTTGGAGCAATTCCCAATCACATCTCCATCAGAGGTTTCTCTCGAGTCTCGGCCACACCTTTCTGAAGCAGCAGTTTCCAGCTTCATTGCTTTCAAGATTCTCTTTAAACGTTGTTGGTTCTTTTTCCTAGGTTTTCTGATGGCCTCGGTACTTCAAATCATCTTCTTCTCGCTGATATCTCCAGACCTACTTGAACTTCCACTGGCATCCTCAGTTTCTGTTCCTTCATCAAACAACCAGTTGCAGGTAAGAGTACAGCAGCAACTGCCTCCTAGGTATTCCTAGGTATATCGTTTTGATATTTAGCCTATTTCTTCTTGTAGATGGTGACTAAACTTGGAGAAGGATTCTTGAAAGGCGAGAAGGGCGTTGCTGTGAATGAAAATGGTACGTTGTATACAGCAACCAAGGACGGCTGGATCAGAAGATTGCATAGAAATGGTTCCAGGAAGAATTGGAAAAACTGCACAGCAAAACTTTGCTTGGAATCACAACAGCAAAAGGAGGTGGTCTTGTTGTCTGTGATTGCAAGGAGGTAAAGGAATCCACAAACTTGTTGCCTTTACAGCCAAAGCAGATGAATTTTTTTCCCAGGTTTGAAACCGCCCATACCACAGAGCCATGCATGATTTCAGAAATTAACGATAAAAAATTAACTAATTTTTAGGTGTTTTAATTGAGATTTCGTGCTTTCAATCTTCTTCATGCTAAAAGACAGTATGTGACTTCATTCAACGTCAGAAAGAGACATATCTGCATCGAAGGCAACATCACTTAAAAATGAGCCATGTGCAAGATTTACTAACTCTTGTTATGCGACAAAATAGTATTAAGCTAATGCTGGTGAGGGAAGTATGGCAGCTTCCTATTGACACGAGGACTCATTCTCGCCTTTTAGGCATGTAGATAGCCAGCTACCGCAAGGGAATCGTTGTCCATTTTGCTTTTGGGACCCGATGACTACACTTGATGCCTCATTGTTTGGTGCCATATGATACTGAAGATATATACGTGACTGTTGCAATCTAATTCTGATCAGAATTTATTTTTCTTTTCGGGTTGGGTTTATCCAAGACCAAGAGAAATTTTGCAACCTGTTTGTTGTCGTGAGACGAAAAAAAGGACCCACCACTACGCCACTTGACCATGATTATGGACCCCATAAACACACTATAGGACGAATTGTTGTATCTTCAGGAAATGTTAACAGAGACTAGAGGCGGTGCTTTAAAACACAATCTGACACCAAGGTTCATCCAAAAGGATGGATCGCTGTCATTCTCCCCGTTAAAAACACATGCTAGTAAACTTGGAAGTCGATCGCCACAGGACAAGAATGTACTTTTCAACTAATGAAAAAAGGAGAAGCATGCAAGGCATATTACACTACTAATCTTGCATGTTCTTAAATTGCCAGGTTTGATTGCAGATGGTGTGATTGGCAGTTTATATTTCAGTGTAGCAAGCACCAAATTTCAACTTAGTAACTGGTAACTTGACGTGCTCGAGGCAAAAACCTCCTGGGCGTCAATTGTGCTAGATGGCCTGTGCTTTCCTTTCAGAAGAAGATTATCTTGTGGCGTGTGAAAAAACATTGAGGTAAGTCAATTCATTGCCAGAGGCACAAGGAGTTATACTCCATTCAGATTATATAATTTCGCACAGTGGAGACGGCTTGATTTGATCGGTTGATGTCTAACCTTCTTTTTCCGGACACATCCCCACTATTTTTCTTATGGTGGGGCAGATTCAGGGCCCTCAAATACAGGCTGAACAGTGAGACAAAAGGACAAACAGAGAGTTTTGTCGAGAACCTTCCCGCTGAAACTGATAACATCGATCTTAACAGCGCCCCCCCCCCCCCCCCCCCCCCCCCCCCCCCCAACCCCACGATGGTTCCTTCTGGATCGCCTTAGTCCAGGTATTCAGACTCATCCAATATTTCAACAAATCATGAACAGCTTGATGAAGTAAAACCTCGTGACCTGGACCTAAATGATTTCTTAATGTGCTGCAGTTGATTTCTGAGCACACGTCTAAGGCTTTGAAACGGATTCTAGCAAAATTTACGACACTGATTGAACTTGTGTATGGAACAAAGAAGGCGGCAACGGTCATCAATGTTGCTGCTGATGGCAACAGAATCAAGAGGTTTGATGATCCCAATGGAACAGTCATATCCTTTGTGACAACAGCTTTGGTGTGATGAAGACCATCTTTACTTGGGAAGTCTCAAGTCCGACATTATAGGAAAATTGCCACTGAAATGATTTTATAGTGGGATGCAAATGAGAAAAAAAATGTCACCTAGGACATCCGGGTCTAAGAGATTGAATGAGAATAAAAGCACTTTAAGAATTTTAGATATATATCCTCTATACAACTGCATGAGAATTGAGAGATCGAGCCATTGATGGGGTAAAAAACTAAAGGATGCATATACCTAATATAACCCCAAAAAAGGATAAAATGCATGATTTAACTATCGAATTTTTCTAAAATGTGCACTTAAACCATCTTCATTGAACCAAATAAAAGTTCAATTACCTATTAAAACTTCAACAGAAATGCAATCCCAGAAATAATATGAACTTAATTTAAAGTTTCAAGCAGTAATAGGAGACAACATATTTTGAAGGTATAACCCTTTCCTATTCTCTCTCAAACATGATGATCAAATGAA